TGTGTGTGTGTGTGTGTGTGTGTGTGTGTGTGTGTGTGTGTTTGCGTGCGCACGGTTAATTGGAGATAACAATCTCACAGACATTCCTGCCAGGGCTGGCTTTGGGCAGCCATCCTCAGATCTCAGCCTCCTGAGTAGCTAGGCATGAGCCACCAGCACCTGGCTCTTTTTGTATTTGGTATAAAGTTTTTTGTCTCTTGACTAACTTCTTTTACTTTGTTTATTAAAAGAAATTGTGGTTTCCATCATGTTCCCAAGGCATTTTTCCATCATTTGTCCTGTTAATTTCAGTTGTTCATTGTGGCTTCTCAGAATAGCTGTAGGTTCTCCTTTGGATAATTAATGTTGTTGTAGAAGTGGTGATTTCTACCCCGAGGGGAAAAAAAATTAAGTTTTTGGAAGTTTCTGGTAGTAGAGATTTATCCGGTGAATTCTTCATAGGAAGTGATCATATCCAGGCTGACAAAACAGCCTTGAGGATCTGCTGAGAGACTTGTCCAAGGTACCCTCATGGGGTCCTGGTCCTTTGCAGCTCTGGGACACTGACGCGTGAAGAGGAGGGTGGGTATGCTCAGTGCCACCCCCTTGCTGCTGGTGCTGTTTGGCTCAGCTCCTTCCCTGGCTGTCTGCCTTACTCTGAACAGTAGAAAGAGGCACCTTTTAATTGGAGGTACAGCATGGTGATTAAGGACATTGAGGATTAAGATTGAGACAGACCTGAGCTTGTTTTACCCTGCAGCAATTTGAGCCTGATTCTCAACCTTCACCTGAAATGGGAGCAGCAGTGTCCCTCAGGGGCTTGTTGGAAATCACTCTGTGACATGAATTCTTGCCCTGTGCGTGGTGGCCACTGCTACTTGCACCAGCAGCATCGCACATTTCTCCTCAAATAGTGGTCAGGAGAGCTGAGGCTTTGAAAAGAAAATAACATTTTGAAAAGTAAAATTGGGTGCCAGTGGCTCATGCCTATAATTCTAGCTACTCAGGAGGCTGAGATCTGAGGATCATGGTTCAAAGCCAACCCAGGCAGGAAAGCCTCTATGACTCTTTACCACTAATTAACCAAAACCTGGAAGTGGAGCTGTGGCTCAAGTGGTAGAGTACTAGCCTTGAGCAAAAAAGTTAAAAGGACCTAGGCCCTGAGTTCAAGTCCCAGTACTGACACTGAAAAAAATAAGAAAATTACAAGTATCAGTGGGCATCCCAGTTACTGCTGATGAAGAAAATACATGAATGATGTACAGTGGCTATCTTTAGTGCTGTTTTTCTTCCCAGATTAGGATTGAAAAAGTGTGTTCTCTTGGCCCACTCTCACATGAGTCCATTCTGCATTGCAGGTCAAGCAGGCAGAGCGCAGCAGAGGCCTCTGTCACTGCCGTCATGCCGTTCCCATTTGGCAAGTCTCACAAATCTCCAGCAGACATCGTGAAGAACCTGAAGGAGAGCATGGCTGTTCTGGAAAAGCAGGACATTTCTGACAAAAAGGCAGAAAAGGTACACATTTAGCTTTAGCAGCAGTTCAATTCTTGGAATTAGGAGCAAATATACGATAAATTATAAGGTAATTGTTTTTTAATCAGTCAGTTCACACTTGGATTTTAAAAAATCTAATCATCAAGTGGTATTTGCTGCTCCTTTACTTTGTCCTCATAAACACATTTCTCTGTTGTTCAGTTGTAATTTGTAAGTCTTAAGTCTGTTTATTTCATCCATATTTATCTGGTTCTTGAAATCAGTGTCTCTGCCAACTATCATTTTTTGTGTACCCTGGGAATAAAACACAGGGCTTTGTGCATGCTAGAAAAGTGTCTAGCCACAACTTGTCCTTCACTGCTGATTTTCTTCCTGCATTCTCCATCCATCCCTGTTCTTTCCTTATATCTAGTCATTGCAGTTCAAAACCTGGCTCTCATCCATCTGGGCCCACTATCCCCTGAAACACCATTTCCACTACTGTGTATTTTGCTTCTAACAGGGCTTATGAATAGACCCGAGTTCTATTCCTTCTTAAGAACTCTCAGTTTTTCTCATGCACCTTAGCAGTTGCTCTGGCAAAGTACACTAAACCAGATAATCAAATACACTGTTCTGAACTCTTCTTTCTGGAGTTTTGTTCTCTCATCCCATGTCCACCAACGCCTCATTCATCTTTCAAAGCTACCACATACATTTCCTAGATGGCTTCCTAGCATACTTCCTCACCTCTCCTATCCATGCCCAGTCTAATAAATCTCTGTCATTTAGACACCTCTTTTGGAAATGTCAGAACCACCACACCATCATCTTCATTCTGTTTTTGTTATACTTTGCCTCCCTTACTAACTGGAGCTCTTTGAGCATTGTGTCATTTCTGGCCTCTCTATACTCTCAAGGTACCTAACTCCCATGAGCTAGATGACTGCTGTTTATAAATGAGTTGATACTTACGATGAAATCTTCTATCCCATTTTTAAGAGATTGTTTTCTGTATTGGGATGGAGCTAGGCTTCTTAGCTACATAGTTTACCTTTATTTTTTGGTGGGATGTTGTAATTATGGCAAAAAAAAAGGAAAAGGAATATATCATCTGTCTTTTAACAACTCTGCAGTTTATTTTGCACTCATAAAGCCAATACTTTGGCACAAACCAGGACAAAGATCACAAGCTGTATTAGCAGTTAATGAATTCATTGTCATGTACTGGAAGGAAAGAAGAAGGGAGGGAGGGAGGGGAGAAAAAGTGAGAGAAAATAGAGAAGGATGGAAAGGAGGAAGGAGGGAAAGAAAAAGATTAAAAGCAGCTGTTTCGGGCTGGGAAGGTGGCTCAGTGGTAGAGCTCTTGCCTTGCATGCATGAGGCCCTGGGTTCAATTCCTCAGCACCACATAAGCAGAAAAAAAAAAAAAAAGCCAGAAGTGGAGCTATGGCTCAAGTGCTAGCCTTGAGCTGAAGAGCTGAGGGACAGTGCCCAGGCCCAGAGTTCAGGCCCCACGACCAGAGCCAAAAAGCAGCTATTTCAAACAAAGATGGAAAATTACATGTTGAGGTATTCATAAATGTTTATAAAATGTAAGCAAGCCCATGGGTAAATGAGAGCTTATTAAATAGGCAGGTAAGTGGATGGAATATTTGTAAATATTCCCTAAATTCCAGCTGTAAGTACCTAGAAAAAGAAATTTTTTTTAATTGTAAGCTAAAGCTGGGTGCCAGTAGCTCAAGCCTGTTATCCTTAACTTTTTAGAAGAAGGTTGATAGCAGTCCAAGCAGGAAAGTCAATGAGACTGTTATCTCCACTTAACTAACAAAAAAGCTGGAAGTGTAGTGATGGCTCAAATGGTAGGGCACCAGCCTTGAGCAAAAAAGCTCAGGGACATTGCCCAGGCCCTGACTTCAAGTCTTAAGACTGCCAAAGAATGAAATAAAGTCTTTTTACTATAACAACAACAACCAAAAAAGTAAAATATCCAGGAATATTTTCAGAAAGTATGTTGAACCTGTTCGGAAAAAAGAGACCAAAACTATGTAACCTTATTCAGAGGCACAAAAGAATACTTCATTCATGTTTCCAGTTAGTCAACATTCTATTTCTTCTTGAATCAGTAAACTAAAACTAAAGCAGTTCCATTCAGATCATAGCAAGACCTTTTTGGAACTTGACAAAAATTTCACTTTATTTTGAGTTAAAACACACTCCAAAATCTGTTTCATTGACCGTCTTCACAACCATGGTTTCCAGACTTCTAGTTTTACAGACTAAAAAGACAGCTTTGATTGCTTTCCTACTTCCTACTTCCTACTTCCCATCTACTTCATTAGAAAAAAAAATTTAACTCAGCCCGGAAGCTAAGCATTCCTTTTTACCATGATGATCTTGTATCTGCTTTAGATTGCTGCAGTGTCTTCTCTACTGGTTTTCTTTTTCTCCCTACAACCATTGAAACTTTTTTCCTTAAAAAACAAAAATGTGCCCAAACCCAGAGTTCAAGACCCACTACTGACAAAATAATAATAATAATAAAAACAAAAACGTTGAAAGTCCTTGCAGAGGCTTAAAGTACATTCTGCAGCTAAGTCTGTCTAGGCCTGTTTTCATAAAGCTCATGAGAATGATTTAAAAAATACACGAGACAAACCATTTTCTTCCCCATTGGACTATCAGCCTGCCAAATACTTGTATTTATTAAAAAATGGAGTAGAAAGCAGAGTTAACATGAAGCACTGTGACCTTCTCTTCTAAACTCTTAACGACTGCTTAACGAAATAGCCATATTGGAACAACTTGTAGGTTGATCTAAGAGCTATTAACTGACACCAGAATATTTTTTCTAAATTCTACAATGGTATCCATATATCATGTTCCTTTTTTCATGTTTCTGCCTACAGAAGGATTAAGGTAAATGACTTTTCTCAAGAGCTCTGTCCTAGTTGGTCATCAAGTAGTGTTTATTCATTATCTTCCCTTATGGATAAGGAGGGTCACAGGGCATTTTTAGTAATTAGATAAATAATTGTGCCTAATGAATCTAATGATTGAATCAATAGAGTTTGGTGATGGGGTTCTGTTAATCTGTGCAAGATATAGTCCTTGGTTCTATTATTACTTTTATTGTGATTTGTTTATCTGGAGAGAGTTAAAAGTTTTAATTAACACCTGATTGATAAGGAGAAAGCTAGTGTGTAAAAGGAAAGGACAAAAATATGGATGACTGAATCAGACACCAAAGAAGAATCAGTAGCTGGAGGAGCTGGGAGCTCAGGTTGAAGGGGATATATAAGCTTAACTGTAAATACAATACACATAAAAGTGTGACTTTGTACTTGATCTAGAAAAAATGAGTTAAATGTCAGTGAAGAAAATAGAATCATTGGAGTACTTGATAAAGCCAAAAGAATGCAGGAAAAAAAGGTTAAATAACAGATGTAACCAAAAGAAAACAAATTATAGGATGCTAGATTCCAGTTTGTATCAGTAACCACATTTAATATAAATGTCCTGAGCACCTTACTTAAAAGGCAGAGATTATGTAATTAGATGAAAGTCCCAACTGTATGCTGCCTGTAAGAAAGGTACTTAACAGGTACATTTGTACATAACAAATGGGTTTAAGTAAGAGAATGAAGAAATATACATTTGACATTTGTCAAAAGGAAGTGAAGTGGCTCTATTAAAAGAGGTTTCAGAACCAAGAATCTTGCCAGAAATAAAACCATTTCATGGTAAAGTTAGGGATTAATTAATTGAACATTACAATCTTAAACATTAAAACTTAAAAACAGAACTTCAAAATAAAGCAAAATAGAGTAACCAAAAACCAATGGAGAGCTGAGAATGTGGCTTAGAGTGGTAGGGTGCTTGCCTAGCATGCATGAAGCCCTGGGTTCAATTCCTTAGTACCACATAAACAGAAAAAGTGGGAAGTGGCACTGTGGCTCAGGTGGTAGAGTGCTAGCCTTAGCTCAGCAAGATTTTGTTCTACACCAGGATAATACCTAACCTGACCTGATTAGCAGTTGTACAACACTCCACTTATTTCACAAATAATGGGATACTGCTATATAAAACATTAAGAAACTTAAAGTATTCAGTATCCATAAAGTGAGCATTCATTTTAAGAAAAAAAAAATCAAAGAATCTGGGTGCTAGTGGTTCATACCTGTAATCCTAGCTATTTGGGAGGCTGAGAGTTGAAAAACACAACCTGAAGCCAGCACAGGCAGAAAAGTTTAAGAAACTCTATTTTTAGTTAACCAGCAAAGAAGCTGGGCTCAAATGGTAGAGCACCAGCCATGAACAAACAAAAATGAGAGGGCAAGGCTCTGATTTCAAGCCCCACTACTGGCAACAAACAAAAAAACTAAAAACAAGAAAAGAAATCACTATTTACCCAAAAAATCAATTATAAAACAACAGAAAAAATGAAAAGATATATCAAACTGATAAACTCTGGCTTAGAATAGTCAGGATGAAAAGAGAGAAATTGCTAACATAGGAGAAGTGCTATTACTGCAAATACTGAAAGGGTAGTATGAACAATTTCATACCAATAAATTTGATACCTTGAGTTTAAAAGGACAGATTCCTTCAAAGACATCAACTACCCAAAATCACTCAAGAAAAAGTAGATAATTTGAATTTGAGTAACCGTATGTTAAAGTGATGGATGATTTAGCCACTAACCCATACCATCAAAGACTGAGTCTAGAGGACTTTGCTAGAGATTCCTACCAAATGTTGTCCACTCTTTTTTCTTTTTTTAACTGAAGACAGTCTTACTAAGTAGCCCAGGCTGATATTAAGCTTTCTATATCCCTGGCTGGCCTCAAACTTATGATCCTCCTGCCTCAACTTCCCAAGTACTAGGATTATAGATGTGTACCACCACACCAGGCTTCTACAAATGTGCAAATGTCAGGCTTCTACCAAAGGATAGAACAGTATAGTTGCTAGGCAAACTCTTCCGGAAAATACAAGAGGGAGGAGTAGTTCTTAGTCTACCAAGTCAGCATTATCCAGAT